AGAAAGAGAGAGAGAGAAAGAGAGAGAGAGAAAGAGAGAGAGAGAAAAAGAGAGAGAGAGAGATATGTAGATATAGATATTACAATGTTTTCAAATTTAACTAACCTGAAGACAATAGGTTTGAGAATCTCGCACTAAATTTAATGACTTCTGATGCAGGTAATTTGATCTACTAGTAACTAGTGTTTGTTGAGCCTTCTTGTCCATAGTTTTTGCTATTACTGGCAAATGAGCAAGGAGAAAATTCTCTGGGACCCATAATACATTTCCAATTAATGTAACGACAGGAATCTGAAAAATATAAAATAGAAATTAAGATACTATAAATAAACACTGATGTAACAAAATTATTGGTAGCATTACCTTCTTGTGCAAATCCCACAACTGCTTGAAAAGTTTCTTATCTGCAGTTCCAAATAATTGGAAATTTAATACATAGAGTGCACTAAGTTTTACCCATGATAACAGATAATTTGAATCTAATCTTTCACTGGCTTTGGTGTCCAAATCATTAACAGAATTTTTTAAATACAAGAAAAATTCGTCAGCTAATGCACTATTCTTTGATACTTGTCCTTGTTTATTATCAAACGGTTGTTCTACAGCTTTCTGTAACAAATACCAAACGAAACAATCAAATGTTGACATTCAACACATATCACAAAATAAAAAAAGTTGGCACTCTGACAAATTAACAAAAACACCTAGACCTCTATGAACAAAATCACATTTGAACAAAATACAATGCTGTAAATTCCTGTGAAATAGACTTAAATATAACATTCATAAAGTAATTTTCCTTTGCTACAATTAGAAACAATATCCAAACAAAATACCTACAGTAGCAACAGAAATGGCAGGAGCTTTCTGGTTTATTTTAACTCATGTGAATTGAAAGATCTTGCGGAGAAACTACTGTCATTGTTTAGGATTCTCAGAATGTTTGTTATAGCTACAGACTGTCAAAAAATATAATTTATTAATCTACAGCCCTGCGTGTTATGCGCTTGATCTACACAATTTTACAAGGTTTTATAGTAAAATTCAGGAGTAACATTATAAGACTATCCAAGTAGCAAAAATCAAGACAGAAGATTCATGAACATTCAAAAAAGCATTTCAATATTGTCAGCTGTGTTCTGTTAGTTCATAGTTTTACATGTGTTTTTTAATATGACATGCAATAACTAACTTTTTTGAAGATTAAGCTTTGTATTTTCCATCCTGCAAAAATCCTTTATTATGTTGCCCTGATCTCTGTAAATATAGAATATCTTTCTCTGCTACAATACCATTACTTTGGCATCCCACTAAAGGCTTTCACGAAAATCAAAACATTGTTTTCATTCATTCATACAATAAAATCAAGTACCTGAAATATTTTCCCTGTAAGTAAATTAGTTTCTAAATCTGTCAGAATTTTTTCAAATGTTGCCAATCTTTCACGTTTTACACCAAATTTTTCAGGATCATGATGAACTGACACCACTGTTCTCTTATAAATTATCCAGTGATCTTGAATTGGGCCGTGATTGCCTAAAATTTCATCTAAGGTAACCAAGATCAGAAGTAAATCACCAAGGTGATCAAATACATCCTGCAAGAAATAAAAAAATGCAATTACAGATTGTTTAGATACCAAATATATAACATTTCAACATACTTTTGAAGTTCACAATTTACAAACACAAGTTTTCCAAAAACACACAATTGTTTTTTAGTTTTTTAAGTAAAAATAACAAATGGGAAATTTGGCACAAATTGAACTCCAGTAAATTCCTTCTGAATATGTCAAAATTAAACACCTAAAGCAGTTATTTCAGTAGTCATTAATAAAAGAGATGCATCTTTTATGAATTTTGATAGACTAGATATTTATAAAATTATCAAATATTTTTTCTTAGTGATGAAGATAGAATCCTTGCTCCTGAACATTAGATTCCAATTGATCAATTGGAGATAATTTTAAAGAGAGATAATAGTAAAAGCAAATCAACACACTTTCAACTACATATTTATAATATCTTATCGTTAAGAAGAGTACCACACCTAAAACACAGTATTTATGTGGCTGTCAAATATTACTTAAAATATCAAAGGAAATAAAATAAAATGCAGAAAGGACTGTTTTAAATTGTCATACGATTTAGAAGAAATATATTTGTATTTTACACTCAATGACATATCAACGTTTTTATCAATTACCACTATGTAAACTACCATTTACTTCTTTGTTCTTGATAACATATGGATGTTTTTATTCTCTCGTGGAATAAAAAAAAAACACTTCATTATTGCAAATTTTTCTTTCATTGAGAATACAATTATGTATACAATGTATTAAATGGTGTCAATATGTTAATGTCTTGTTGACAAAAGTCTGATTAAAACAATAGAAATTGATGTCCTTACTCATTCCAATTAGTGCCCTCAGCTCCCATTACCACTTCAGTAACCAAACTTTTCTCTTGCTTCATAAACTTTACTATTGGCTGAAATGTAGTATACAGTACAACCTAAGAAAGTCTTTTAAATTAGCACTTTGCACCATTCCAGTGTTAACTAGGTAGTTAGAAATCTGGAGGCTTTCTTGAAAAGTGATGTTTTATAAAAGTGAATTGGTAATTATGTGTTGGATAGACTCAAGGATGTTTATAGTGACCCCGAGCCTCGCCGTGACTTGGATCCGGGCAAGGGAAGCAAGAAAACTTGCCTTTGAAAGTAAATTGGCATTACAATGCAGCGGGGACAAAGCATATGAAGGGCGAACCATGAAATCGCTTATCCGTAAGTTTTATTCATTTCTATTAGAGCACGTACAGTAATTAGGTCTTAAGCCCTGCGCCACGCTGTACTGTATACTAAATTTTAACCTTACTATCTTGTACCATACATTATTATACAAGCATGTTCTGTCCCCAAGGCATCCTTAATTACCTGAAAATGTATATCTACAGCATTCATTACTTGAGATGATTCTCTAGGTGATGAATAAACTGCAGCAAGCTGCTGCACTATCTGAATTGCAACTTCTTCGCACCTCTTAATGAAACATCCCAGTTCTTGTAAATGAGGAAGAAGACTTCCCATCATCACCTGAGCTGCACCATCCTGGATACTGGAGTTATCTAATAAAACAAAATTTCATGTTTAAAGAAATAACATAGAAAATTAAAATAAGGGAAATTCAATCATTACATTCTGACCATTACTATATTCTGTACAATTCTAAGCCCATATTGAAAGTATGAAAAGAGCTGGAAAACAAAAACACCCACTCACCTCCTTCTCCATAAAACATAAGTGTTTCATAATATTTCAGTTTTGCTTCTGATTGCAAAGAACGAACTTCTGCACACAGAGTTGTGAACACTGTTAAAACTTTGTTCAAAACTTTATTGTCAGTATCAATTAATTGTAAAAGAGTACACTGCTCATGGGGTGCAAACTGAAACAAATTTATGCAGATTTCAGCATTCTGATATCATATACAAGAAAAAAAACTTAACAGTAACCCAATCAATGATTGCATATATCAAGTTACCTGCAGGGCTATTGGATCAACACTCATGTCCCAGGAATCACCCATGCAATCCTCCAATGCCTCCTGAATTCCTTGCAACTGGGATGCATAATCTTCCAAAAATCGTCCGTATGCACGCAACTGAACTTCTCCAGCAATTTCTGGACAAAATGTCATTTATTTACACATTTCAATTAAATATTTTCAGGTACATTTTCATCACATTATCGTATACTTACTGTGAGTTCCATCTTCTAGTCTATCAAAATCCCAATCTGAACCGGTAATCATGTTACACTCGACAAATAAAATTATCACGTATTTATAGTCATAATTCTACCACCTAATATCTATGCGATCGGCCACTCTATAAATCGGATAATGAAGAAATGCACATGACATTTACAAAAGCATTAATCACTGAATATTACCGAGATATATAGGTGTTAAAAACACAACAATGCGTTGAAATCCTATGTCAAGCAACCAAATACAGATGACATTAAGAAGGGAGTCACGAGATCCTTTTTTCCTATTTGTTACCAGGATGTGGCCAGTGGTGTATCATTGCTTTCGCCGCTGTTGTGGCCCAAATTATTTGTTGTTCAGTCAGCTGATAAATTCCAAATACATACAACTTTGACAAAACTACGCGGTCATTAATAACACATTTCTAGTGCTACACAGAGAGGGGACACGGCCGTGGTCCTGCACGTCAAACGTCAACACAACACCAGCGTTTGTACCTGGTTGGTACCACCTGGGTATGCCGTGGTTTGGTACCACTGAAATTGAGCGTCCCCCAGCAATCGCTAAGCAATGCAGCGCATTATAATTATAATACTCTTTTTTTTCGTTACGAAGGTTGAAAATAAATTGAAAAGTTATTAAGACTGCCTCTCGAGTGTATTTTAATTTTGGGGTAGATCAGGTCCTTTGATTTTAAGGGGAGAGGGTACCATGTATTCCGCCTATGCTAAAATTTGCTATTATTAATGAACCTGTTCTAGAAAATAGTGGATTAGAAAATTATGATACTTCGTTCAATTAAACATACAGCCATTGTTATTATTTTTGGGAGTAGATTAAAGAATAATTAGTTTTTTAATAATAGTTTTTGCCCAATTTTTCAGCATTTTTGGACAAACATTTTTTATTATTGAAGAATGTTTATATAATAATGTCGATTTATTGCCAGCACTATAATTAGTGTATCCTGTAAATTTTAATAAATTATGAACAATCTTTCTGAGAAAAAGAACACTAATTACAAAATAAGTATATTTTCGGCAAACGTCATTTGAAAAAAAGTCAGTACTTGCCACTGCTCTACTAGAACATTATTGCACTATATTCTGGATCATATTTTTAGTGGAAAAGGTGAATGCTACCAACGTATAAACAGTAGTATGTTTCAACAATTCATTAACAACAGAACATACGATAAAAAGTACGAAAAAATAACCATACTTGTAAGTAGTATCAAAAAGAGGGCGTGACTTATGCGCATTACTACTTTTAAATAAGAATTAAAAAGACTTCCAAGAGACCTAGAAGTAAAACGTTATTATATTGTGATAGAGCAAGATTTGAACTACTTATTCACCTAAAAAGAAAATCGATCATTAGACCCACTTTATGGTACCCTCGTCCCTTATGGTTTCCTTAACAAAATTGAATGTGTTGCGTCATGAATGACTTTTTTTAAATTAAAAATTGTAGTAACTTCTTACATTTTGCACCGATCAACATTTTGAAGGACGTTGTGCTTCATCATCAAGATCTAATAGAAGCTTATAAAAATGATATAAAAATAACACTAAGGAACAATTTTTTCATACCCCCAGGATGAAAGTGGGTGATTTCGAAGGAAACGATCATGCTGATTTCGAAAAGTTTCTATCACACAAGGTTCGAAAGATATGAACATATTTAGTATGTGAAATAAACAAAATGCTATACTTATTTCCGTATTGTCATTCCGGTTATATTACTACAAAATTATATAAGTATGCTTCATATGAGGTAAGAGCACGTTTGAAATCGAATACACTCATTCGTGCAATAATATGCAGACATTAAAACGGTTTGTTTGGTATTCTCCACAACATTGGTAGAGCGTATGACAATGATATGAGTTTACCATACAACAACCTAAGGTTTGTTGTACCACTGGTGAGCAGCCCATGGTTTGTCCTGATCACAAACACGACAGCCAAAGCACAAAGAAAATGCAAGTTTTCATTTATACAATTTCATTCGCATAATTTCTTTTTTCCCCTTTGAATTATGGATGTAAATCTTCCACAAGCGTAACAGAAGTTATCGGATTGATTCGCACACTGTGGATTTGAATTTTATCGAACCAATTCAATTCTACAGATCATGTGGCGAATTTCACTTTACTAAAAGCCACAGAGCAGTAACGTAATCTATTTGAGGTGCTATTCATGTGATCATTTGAAACTGGCGCACGCGCCATATACAACGCGCGGTCTGTGAACCGCAAGTATACTAGGGTTATTTAAACCATGCACTTGACGTAAATCAGCTTTTCAAGGATTTATTCAATGGAGAGTTTGAACGTCCCCGTAGAGACGTCACTGTAGCGATATGTAAGCTCCCGATGTTAAGCACCCGAGAAGGCGTGATCCTTCCTTCTTAGCCTCTTCAATCGCATTTGGAACGAACACTCCATTCCTGAAACCAGTCGTGCGGCTCTAGTTACCCTAATCCTAAGGAAGGAAACTATCGAATGATTCCCTCGAGTCATTGACCAATTTTGCTTTCTAGCTGCGTTTGTAAGCTTTTGACGAATTGTTAACTGTTGTCTAGTCTGGCTTGTGGAGCAAAGAAACTTCTTAACACCAATTCAGAGTGGCTTCAGGAAGCATCGGTCTAGTTTGGATCACTTGGTCACTCTTGCTTCGCAAATATCCGTTTCATATTACGACAGCCCCCTGCAGCCGTCTTCTTTAACATTGAGAAAGCCTATAACATGACATGGAGGTACGGCATACTTTGCATTTTGCACCCTAGGGGACGGCTCCTGTTGTTCATTGTGAACTTCATCTCTTTAAGATCCTTTAGAGCTCGCTGGGGTGGGAAAGTATCTTCTATTAGAACTCCTTGTGGAGTTTTCCAAGGGTAAATTTTGAGTGTTACTCTGTTTGACATTGGAATCAACAACATAGCGTCAGTGGTAGGAGAGTACGTATGTCTCTTGCGGTTTTTAGGACATATTTTCCATCTGTTCTAGACTATGGCAGTATTGTATACGGCTCAGCGTCACGTTCTAAATACTATCTATCATGCCGGAATTCTCATCAGCACAGGTGCCTATCGCACGAGCCGAATCGAATGTCTCTTGGCCGAAGCAGGAGAACCGTCTCTTAACCGAAGATGGGAGAAATTGATCGGTTCGTATGCTGTGAAAGGGTCAGTGTCCAATCTCGCCAAGCATTCTTGTACCCAGGCCACCAAACATCGTACAATCTGAGACCATATTTATCTAAACCGCCTGGTATCCACTTTCACAGTTAGTTGAAGGAGCTTAAACTGAAACTTCCTGGTCCCTGTGAAATCTGTGCGACCTCTAAGAGACCTCAGCTTGTCGAACCTCTAAATTATCAACTGCGCTCGCCACATATGTGAAACACTTCAATGAGTTGAGAGCAACTTATCCTAAGCAAACTTTCTTTACACTGACGGCTCTGCAATCAGCTATTCAGTGACATGTGCGTTCCACTGTAGAAAAGCCATGCGCACATTTAAAATTCAACCGTACTGTAGATGATTCTCTGCCGAGAAGTTCGCTGTACTGCAAGCCCTGAAATATATAGAATCAAAGAGCGAGCACATGAGAGCTATCAAAATGTCAGCTACTCATTCAGCAGCGTTTTGCTGAGTTTACAGATGCACATGTACTTCCATCAGGAATTAAAGTAATTGGTTTCAGGCACAAATAGCTTTCGTATTGACTACAATGCGAAATAGCACAATTGTTTAGTTGTCAATGCATTCCAGAGACAAAGTTTTAATCCCAGTTTTTAATCTCAGTTATTAGCGTACTCCTTTTTCTGATCGCAATAAATGAAATAAGTACTATCATAGAAGCACCGAGTAAATTATTTCTCTTCGCTGATGATATCTCCATTGTATGCTGTGTCAAAGATCTCCGAGTAACAACTAAAATAATCCAAGAAACATTAAACAAAATTCAAACATTGGTAAGTTCTTCAGGTTTCTCCCTTTCAAGAACAAAATCGGAATTTATTATAATCTCTAGAAACTCAAAACTTTTAAATGAAAATCCTGCCCTCTTTACTGGAAACCATCATATACGTCGTACATACTACTGTAAAATCTTGGGCATGACCTTCGACCAAAAGCGCCCTTGGAAGAACCACATTTCTCTCCTAAAGTCCGAATGCAAAACCAGGCTGAACATACTGAATATATTAGCATCTAGAAAGTGGAGATCATAGTGGAAATGTTTAATAAATGCTTATCGTGCCATTATTCAAGCCAAATTAGATTACGGAGCTGTAATCTACAGGTCAGCTAAAAAATCTACACTACAGACACTGGACCCTATTATAAATTCAGCAGCGGAAACAACTATGTCCAAAAATTGGCTACTGAACTTTAAATTCCTCAACTAATCCAACCTTCAAATATATCTTCAGCCCTTATAAAACATATTACCATTCAATCCATGTGAAATATCCAAAACCACTTGGAGAAAGAATCTCAATTTATCAAGAATGATTGAATTTAATATTGAAACTCCTCACATTCTACAGAGTAGGATTCACTCCATCCCTCCTTGGCAATCCTGTAAACCTGAAGTTAATACAATGACTACACAGATTTCAAATTCCTTAATCTCTCCAAAATAGTATCATCGCATCTGAATTCTCTTTATGAAGACTTTTCATGATTTAAAAAAAGTGTATACAGATGGATAAAAATGTGAAAACAAAGTTGGTTGTGCAATTATATCTACAACCCCGCTCAATACCTTTAAATTCAGGTAACCAGAATACTTTTCTAGCTTCTCTTGTGAAGCCTGAGCCATCCTGAAAGCCATTGAATTAGTCTATCAAAATGGAGAAAACCGCAAAATAGTAATTCACTTAGACTCTATGGCTACCTTGAATGCAATAGTCAACAGGTTTTCTAAAAATCCGACAATCCAAGGAATCCATGAACAGTTATTTACACAAGAAAACAACGGAACATTCATCTCTATTGTTTGGATTCCAGCACATAAAGGTATAGAAGAGAATGAAAAGGCAGATAATGCGGTTAAAGAAGTAATTTCATTACCAACAACGGACAAGAGGGTGAAGAGATTTCTCTCCGATATTATACTATATATTAGAAATATGGTTAAGAAACAATGGAATGAAAAATGGCTGACTACCTTCTCCAAACCTCACCTCGTAAGGAAATCCGTTATTGAACCCGCAATTCCGAAAGTCTAACTCACTAGATTCCAACAAGTCCAAATTACCAGACTACGTATTGGCCACTTTAACCTCTCACACATTCACCTAATAACAAAAGCTGACCCAGTAGCCTGTCCTAAATTTGGATCCCTAGTATCTACATCCCATATTATTCTGGAGTGCCCTCAACTAGCCCATATAAGACAGTCCCTAAATTTAAAAGAATCTCTTTAAAATTCCTTTTCCTCTCAAGAAGAATGTATAAAAGCCTTACAACTTTTAAAAACATCAAAAATTGATACCTTAATATAAAGA